AAACTAAACAGCCTACAGTATTTTTACAGTCTTAATTTTACAGTTAAAATATATGTTTATCAAATAAAGTCTAATGTTTCAACTAATCAGGGATCCCTTTAAATAAACAGAAAAGTAAGGTTGCCATCACACTTTCAAATACAGAATAAACCCACTCAAAATAATTATCCTTATAATTAATAATTAGCTTCACCACACTGACGGTACAGATTAAATACTTTTGCAAATGTTTCATTAGTAAGTCAAAACCAGTGTAATTGTTCTGTTTGGCTGAGGTTAGGGCTTCTTGATCGCTTTGTACATCATATCCTCAAACTTTGTTTWAATCTAAATTACAATTCTGTACCCCTTATTTAATTAAACTAATTATTCTTCTCCATATACATTAAACTTCTCCCTTATTACTGACCCATAAAGAGATTAATTGAATTAGCCCCAAGATCATTCATCTCAATCTCGGCACCATTTCATGCCGGTTGATCCATTGATTTAGCTTTATTCTTTTTCTCCACTTTGTGGAGGCGCGTCGCCGATTGGAGGTCAAGCTGTGGGCACAGGCTGCAAGTGTTGCTGGGAAGGATCCTCTAACAGGCCAGATTAGCTTCACTCTGAGGCACCACCTGGACAAACTGCACCTTTAGGGGAGGAGGAGAGGGAGAGTGGATGTTCATTGAACTGAACTCGCCTCCCCACTGCTAAAGCTACTAAACAGAGCCCTGTCTTCAGGGTAGAGATGGCAGCCACAGAACAGGACAGAGCTGGAAGAAACTGCTCAGCATTTGAGGATTTATTGCTCTTGCTGACTTCAGCTTTTTATTTTCCTTTTCTTTCCGCAGCTAACATAAGGCCTCCCTTCTACATATGCACCTCTCTCTCTCTTGCACCCTAATTGCTGTGAGGAGCAGTTCTGTCTCTTAAACTATGATGTACGTTTTGCAAGTATTTTTTTTTTCAAACTGGGTGTTACTTTTTGCTCACACCTTTAGTCAGTACAGTTCAGTCACTGTGGATAATCGCAATTTATGTTTGTTGAAGGATATTATCTTTTGTCGGGAGTCGCACGTAGAAAATGAACCGAGTTAAAAACTGTAAAGTAAAAGGTTTCATTGAGAAACAGAGCAGATATTCACATCTGCGTTGCCCGAAGCAGTCAGGTCTTCAAGGCTTCAAGGCTCAGCGTAAGACTAATGCCTGTCCAGTGTGTTTTGACTCCGTTTGCTCCCCCAACCCCCCACTTTCGCCTCCTCGTGTTGGCAGCTAGGAGGAGGGAGCGGGGAATGACTGCTCATACAGTCAAGCCCCAGACCTCCCATTGTGCACAAGCCAGACAAGGTTGGCGGTCATGCAGTGGTGCATGATGAGTGACAGGCAACAGGACTGCCTCGCCCACGCTCTCTCTGCCCCCCCCCCTCCTTCGGCCCGCCTGGCCGTCCTTTCACCCCAACTTCCACCCCCCAATGTGATGGATAAGCCTCTGCCCGCAATGCTTTCATAACAAGTCAATGACAGTCAGCATCATGCAGTCTGACTCCTATTGCCTTGCAGAATGTGCCATAAGGGAAGGCTAATGTGTCTGCCTGTCTGTGCCTTCCTCTCCCACACTCACTGAGTCACCACACGGAGCTGCCCTCACTAGGGAGGGAAATATGCTCAAAGCAGCTATAAGATCTTATGTTTTGAAACCGACGGGCGTTAAATTTAAACAAGACAGTTTATGAGAATCGATTGCTGCATTATTTGTCAAATCTAGAAACTCATTTCAACCGTTTTCTTTTGCTTGTTTGAAATCCCCAAAACAGTCATGCAACACCACAGACTTGAAAAATATCAATAGTTTCAGCTTCATCTTTTTTTTCTTTGTTTTTTTTTTCTTCCCTTTGCTTCTGAAGTGGAAATGTGTCTGTGTTTCTACCCTGGGTGATTCAGCTATAACTCGATCCTGCTGGTACTTGTTTAAAGCCTGGCCGGCCCGGCCTATCAACAGCCTTGTGCTTATATAACCGTCTCCCATCCATCCTGTAATTACTGCCTTTTTGGGGCATGGTGTAGTGTCTGTTCCTTTTGTCGTTGGTGGGGGGGGCGCAGGGCGACATCGCCTCTGCGTTTTGCCGGAGCTTTTGAGACGGTGTCGACAGAGGCACACAAGACATCAGAGGCTACTTCACTTAATTGGCAAACATGTCGTGTGATAACCTGGGAACGGCGCGGGCCTAATTGAGTCCTCCTGTGCCGTCCTCCTCTTGACTACCTGACATAGAACTCAGGRCATTACATTTCCCTCGCTTTAATGGCCGCAGTTAATTAGGACCGAATGAGGGAATCATTACCGCTGGAAAAACCACATGCCAGTGGATCCGTCGATGAAATTATCCACAATTTGCCTTTGCTATTGGAGCATATGAGATAAACCACACAATGGGGGGGAAGGATTGGA